TTCATATTTTTGTAATTTTTCAAAAGTTTCAAAGATGAAAAGTTAGTTCATTTTACCCTAGGCTAAATTAAATATTCTAATCAACCAAATATTAAATAATAATGTTTTAATTATTATTGAATTGTTAGATATTTATTATAAAGACAAAAGAATTATTATATTTATTTTACCTTTAGACTAAATTAAACATTCTAATTAAATGAATATTAAAGGGATAATGTCCAAGTACCCCTTCAACCTATGCCCGAAATCTCAGAGACACACTTATACTATACTAAGGTCCTATTACCCCCTGAATTTATTTTATTAATAATTTTTTACCCCTTTTTAGCTTACGTGGCACTATCTTGTGGGCTCGACGATGGTTGACTTTTTTTTCGAACTAGTGCCACGTAGGCTAAAAAGGGGTAGAAAAATACATATAAAATAAGTTCAGGGGGGTAATAGGACCTTAGTATAGTATAAGTGTGTCTCTGGGATTTCGGGTATAGATTGAGGGGGTACTTGGGTATTTTTCCAATATTAAATAATAATATTTTAGTTATTAGTTGAATTTTTATTTATTTATTATAAAGATAATGAAAGAATCATTATATTTATTTTAATAGTATTTGACCTTTCAATTTTTCATGTTTTCGTAATTTTGTTTTATAAATTCAACTTTTTTAAGAAAGACTTTTATTTACTACTCCGGAAATTCTTGTGTATAGGAGCCACTAAAAAAAACTGGGGTTATTACGATGATTTTTATAAGTAATACGACGGTTTCAAATCGTCACAATGCACTTTAACGACAAGAATTCAACTACTGAAATAATGTCACAATTTGTGGTGAAAGTTGTGATCAGATTCCCTTATACAATCATGAGAATAGATAAAAATTCAACTATTGAAATATCGGAGCTTAGTGTGTAAGTTTTATACTTATTTGTAGTAATTAGAATTATAATAAGACTTTTTTTAACTCTCTTCATATATTTGAATTGTTGTTTTGTCAGCAATTTGCTTTAAATACAGATTTTTATTTTGTATGCTCAAACATTCAGTTTTTATTATAGAGACCGAGAAAAAAGATATCTAATTGTCTTGCTTTATTTGTATCTCTTTTTTTCTTCCTTTGTACGTGTAATTTTACATATACATTAACTTTCATCTTTTAAAATGAATGTGATAAAATGTTTACTCTATTTTATTTTATGTTTGAAAAAAAAAGTGAAACATATAACATTAGATTAATGGTAAATAAGTTACGTATGAATAGAAAAGTAAAGGAAGTAAATTCCATATAAATAATAACTTCTACACCTTAGTTTTAAATATTTATAATTAACTAATAGTTTAAAGTGCTTGTTGATAAAAACTTAATATAATAGTTTGAACACATTCATTATAATTATCAAAAGATTCAAAAGACAAAGTAAAAAAGTTGAAATGTTTTGTTTTCCTTTCACTCAAAGTTAATGTTACATCATTTTTGGTATAAAAAGTAAATAATCTCCTCTCAAACTTCAATATAACTGAAGAAACAGTAATATTGCACTACGATTTGCAGAGGATTAATCTCATGCAATCTTTTGATCTTGTAACATTATTCTACCAACAAAAAAGAACTTTTAACACTACTGTAAAATTTAATTTAGATAGTTGTTATCTTTTCCTCTTTGCTTTATAACCTTATTTTTTTACTTATAAATAAAGTTTATTTTATTAACTTCTTATATTATTATCTCAGTATATTAACTCAATAAGAAACCTCATTAGACATATTTTATATATATAAAAAAAGAACTAAAATAATATTTTTAATAGTATTTTTTTAAGAAACAATATACTCATCAACACGGGTTACACATGTAAAGCGCGTTCCCAGAAAATAGTAACATATATATCTAATCTCTTAATAAAAATTTTGTCTCCGTTACGATAGATTAACAATAACATATAAAGTATAATTATTTCATAAGTGGAGTATGAGAAGAGTATCGTATATACAAATCATCATAACTCTATTGTGTGAAGATAAAATAAGATGTTATCAATCAACCCTCGAATCAAGTAAAGCATTACAAAACATGTCCAAAATATTGGAAACAAAAAACTAATCCACATTAAATAATAGATAAAGGATGCAAATACTTGGGAGAAATATAAGAGATGGTAATCAACATTAAATAATCGATTCGACCTAGATGATGGAACTATACTTTTCAGAACACGATAATTATTATAATATTGTTAATTGTGGTTTTCTCAATTGGAAATATATTTGTACAATGAGTTCTTGCTTAAGAAGTCTCACTTGTAACTATTAATACGAAAATTTTCATAATAATGAATATTAAAGAAAGTTTATGAACCATATTGGCCATAAGAATTTGAAAAATAGTATGTTAATAAAGGAGTGGTAGAAAAATAAAGTGAATAGAAAAAATTTGTGTGTTTTTGTGTATGGAGGAATGTGTATTTATATGTATCACAATTAATCTAAATTAAGTGGCGATTCTTTTCTACGTATTTTTCTTAAATTTGTTTTATACTTGGAGCATTTTAAAAAGTGATTTTTCTAAAGATAGTAAAATTACGACATAACAATCTATACTCAATTCAAATTAAAATAACACCACTCTTTTTGTTTTTTTACCTTTTTACCTTCAAAAATGTTTTTTTTTTTAAGAAAAATTATCTTTTTATTTTTTTAAAAAATAGATGTTTTCAATTATTAAAAACAATTTTTTTAAAAATAAATTATTAGAACTTGAATTTTTGATGTTATAACTTGAAATTCTAAATCTACTACTCTAACTTGAAAATATTAATATAATATCATATATGAAATTTTCACTTTACAAAAACATTATCTATTTATTTTTGGGAAACTTTCACATATAACCATTTAAAAATAATGAATTACACTCAATAGCTATAGTTTGACAAAAACAATTTGTAGTTACATGTTATATGGAGGAGAGAGGCGAGCGAGACTGGGAGAGAGAGGAGAGAGGCGAGAGCAGGGGAGGGGGGGGGGAAAGAGTGGGAGAAAGGTGAATTGTATATGTATATTGGTAAGATAATTGTATATTATACATATTTAATTGTATATATGGCAAGAGAGATTGGAAGAGGAAGGAGAGAGGCGAGCGAGAGAGGACAGAGAGTGGTAGAGAGGTACATTGTATATGTATATAATTTTATAAAACTGTATATTATACATATATATTTGTATAAATGGCAAGCGAGATTAGGAGATGGAGGAGAGGCGAGCGAAATTGAGAGAGGAGGAGAGAGACGAGCGAGAGAGGGAAGAGAGTGGGAGAGAGGTGAATTGTATAAGTATATAGGCTAAAAAATTGTATATTATACATAATTTTTTGTATATCCTGACGAATTATACATATACAAATATGACTAATTATACAAATTCGAAGTCAGCCCACGTAATTAATGTATAATGTTAGTCGTGGATGGTAATTATAACAAATTATAGTTATGATGAGTAATTAAATAGTATAAATTTGTTTATCTGCATAATTTTCCCTATTTTTTTTCTATATTATTTTCGTTATAGAATTATTTTTTTCTTAATTTGACTTTTCTTTAGATTTTGGATAAGATAATTAGCCCCTATCACAATCCATAATAAGTTGAAAACAAGGCTGGCAACTCTTGAAAAGGAAATTTGCATGGAATTGTCAGCTTCACTAAAATATGTATTTAAAAATTCATATAATTTCAAGTAACTAAATATAATAATTAAATTTATAATTAAACATTTAACAATATATATATATATATAGAGAGAGAGAGATTTGTGTGGTTTAAGATTACGAAAGATTTATTTGATGAACATCTTTTAATATATAAAGTAACGATTTCATGGTGTGGTACTTTATAGATTATATATAAATTCAAAGATTAATCGATCTTTCTTTCGAAAATTCTTTATTCAACTAAATATTATCATGTCATATATAAAGATAAAGGAATTATTTTCTTTTTTCTAATTTGTTTAGTTATAAAACACAAAGTTCAAGGAATTTTTTCTATATATAAACACAAAATTCAAGAAATTTCAATCATAATTTAGAAGGATATTTATACATTATTCCTAAAATCTAATCATAATATCAAACAAGTGGCATGTAGTTATGAGTTCATTTGAAATAAATGATTTTGAATTAAATTTATATTTATATTTTAAAACAATTGAATAAATATAATTAATAAAAAAATTAATTAAAGTAAGATCGAATATTAAATTTAAAACTATAATATTTAAATTTCGAATTCATAAAAATCAAATGAAAAAAAAAGAAGAAGATAAAGCATATCCACCTTTCCTATTAGTTAAAAAGAGTAAATATAGGGACCTACTTTACCATGTAATTTGTGGTGAAATAATTAAAATTATTTCATATTTAATAAAAATTTGGTTCGAACTCTTAGGAGTGAAATGATCATGTTGAGATTATCACTTCCATAAGTCTTTCATTACGAAAATATTGGGTGAATTAAATTTAGTTGTGATTCAATGCACATGTTGGTAGTGCCACTATCAAAATTAGACTTTGCAATGTGAGGATTCTAGTGCGAATTTTCGATTTAGTTGAACTTCGATATAAATATTGAGAGTGCCAACCTCACACCCACACCAGAAATTAATCGCACAATAAGGAAATCTTGCAAAATCAGATTTAATCAAACCTCAATAAATATCAAAAATGTCGCCCTGACATCTTGTAAATGCAAAATTCTACATAGCTTCATATTGAGCATAGAAATCCAAATAATTTGAGCGCTAGTTACATTATATCTCGAAAGTTTCTCAAAACATAATGAGTTTGACTTTTTCAAAATTCGTGAAGATATTGTTCCTTTGGTAAGTGTTATACCACATACATAACTATAAACCAAATTCATACTGATTTAGATTTAACATAATTTAAATTATATATCAACAATAACAATTTATATCAAATACATTATATACAAATAAAGTTATGTATCCAGAGTGATAAAAGAAGAAAAAACTATCAAACCCAAGGATCCATTATCATAGAATGAAGCTTGTTATATTTTATTTAAATTTAATCGAAACTTCAACGAAATCTGACGATCATACAGAGTTGAGGAAACCAAAAAAAAAAATTAGTTGTCAGTGAGAGTGGTGAGCACGCAAAAATACTCCTCAAAAGAATCACAAACCAACTCAAAAATCCCATTTGATTTCTCACTTTCCATACATAAATTTATGTAAATAAGTCATTTTTCCCCTCAACATCTGTTTCTGGTCTGTTTCTGGGTGATTCTTGAACATGGGTTGCTCTGGATCCAAAGAAAATGGTACTCTACTTTCTTTTTTTTTTGGTAATTCTTGGTGAAATTATTTGCTTTTACTAATTTTTAGGTAATACCCAATTGGTTATAGAGTTGTATTATGTAAGTTTTGCTGTAAGGGATTTGCATTTGTTGTAAAAATTGTTGCTTTTATTGTTTTTTGCTCTTTTCTGAGAATTTTCTTTGTGCTGTGCTTGTGTTCTTGTTATTTTTGGTGAAATTAGTTGTTTTTTCTATACCAATTTTTAGGTATACTCAATTGATTTATGGTATAAGATTTTTCTGAAATTTATATTTCTGTTTGTTGATGGATTTGCATTTGTTGTAAAGTTGGTTGCTTTTCTGGGAATTTCACTCTCAAGGACTTTGAGAATTCATATTCTAACTTGTTTGTGATGTTTGAGGACTAGCTTTTTTGATGAATTAGGTGTTGGGAGGTATTTAGCACTCAATTGAAATTGCCCCCATGAGTTAGGAGGGACTTGTATCTTATTTCACAAGTTCGAGCCTTGCCCCAAACGAATTAACTTCAGTATTCAAGTGGAGAAGGAACTTTGTTTACATTGTCGGTTCCAAGCCCGGATAAAAGAGGAGGGTTGTTGAGGATCAATCGGAAACAAACTCTCCACCCTATAGAGGTAGGGGTAAGGCTGGGTACATCATACCTTCTTAGAAGTCAGACCCCACTAGTAGGATTACACTGGATTTTTTGTTGTTGTTGTTGTTGTTGTTATAGTATTTAAGTGGAGAAAGGTGGAGGGGTGGCCCAAATCATCCCTGAATTTCGAAGGCTGCATTGGCGCAAAGGGTTGAATCCAGACGGATTTTTTTTATTATAAAAAAAATGAAATTTTGTCTTTAACGGATAGTGCGACCGTTTTATGGTGATTAGTTAGCTTAGAGTTGTAGAGGTGAAGATGGGTTGCTTATTTGACTAAAAGGATCGATAGATAAATGATGCCTCAATCTGAAACTAGTAAGTGTCAACTCTATGAATCTTCCATATTGACAATGAGTATAAAAGTTAAGCTGTAGAAACCATCATAGGAAATAAAAGTTACATTTGCCCAAGTTTAGACTGGTGCATGTTTCGATCCGTAACATGATTTTTCTTGCATTGTACTTTACTTCAGGACGTGTGATGGTACTTTCTAGAAATGTGGTGAGAGAGTAGATGTCAAACAGATTGCAGACACCCAATATCTTGTGCTTGTCTACTATCTGTTCGAGCAGCCTCGGGAAAAAACCAATTTCTTATCACCAGCTTTTATCAACAGATTGTCTTTTCATATTGCTTTTTTACGTTTTAAGTCAAGTTTGAAGTAAGTGGATATAAGTAGCCCGATATTAGGAGTAGAAACCAAATCCACGGAGTGTTGGCTGAAAGTCAAGAAATACCTAAAAGCAACAAGTTCAGTTACTTCTCAGAATTTTTGGGTTGAAAAGCATGACCATCTCATCTATAAGTGCTTAAGTTGTTAGAGAGAACAAACTTTTATAAGATGAACTGCTGGTTCCTGGCTGTCATACTCAAGTTATCAGAGCAAATTGAGTGTATGAGTTCATGTTGCAACTGTTACGGCCTGGTTAGGATGGTTTTATGGTCATCTAACTCCCAGTTAGACATCCATTTGCCAGTGCGTAATATGTGAAACATTTTTGCAGATCTTGCTTCCCTTGATTCGGCAACCTATAATTTAAAACCTTCTGCATTAACCTTTCGACAATGGACTTGTATAATGTCTCTATTTCCTTTTCATTTTGAGTAATAGTTGTTCCTTTGGTTAGTTGTCTTTCAGTAGAAATTCTTTCTTTGCTATACGTTTTATTGTTTTCTTTCATATCTACCCATTCCTTTTCATTCTCTGTATAGTTCTCATGTTATTGTTATGATGAGCGCTTTGTTTCTTAGACTATCTTCACAGTTCATTTTGTAATGACTTCGGGTTATTTTCCTGACAGAATGATCTAATCAACCTGTTAGTTACCCAGTCTTTGTTGTTTTCTGTTACAAATTGATACCACTATCTACCATATGTCAACCATCTCAGCTCTATGTATTGACTTCACCTTATTGTCTCTCTTACCCTTCCATACTAGTAGTCGTAGTATTTCTCCCGTAGTTTCTTGTCCGTCAATTTCTGTTACTATCTATTGTCTCTTCTTGTGCTTTGATATTGCACTTTTTTGGTGTAGTTACTGTTCCTTTTTTCAGAATGCTTTGTCATGCTTCCTATAGTATTTTGTCATGATCCATTCACTTCACTTATTTTTTCTCGATGCTTTTCCTTGAGCTGAGAGTCTCCCAAGGTAGGGGTAAGGTCTGCATACGCTCTACCCTCCTCAAACCCCACTTGTGGGATACACAGGGTATGTTGTTTTTTAGCAAATTCGTCATTCTATTCTAATCAGCAGTATTTAGTATTGGATCCTCTTCATAAAAAAAAGTAGTCTATTGAAGGTTATATAATCCTAGGAAGATGAATGTGATCAATACTTAGGTCACTTAGTCACATCCCTATTATGCCCGTCACTCATCTGTTATCACAAAATTTATAGTCTGTGTTTGTTCTTGTTAAGTCACACACTGGATGAGGAAATCAGTCGCGGTCTCCTCTCATGAGGTTGTGTCGGACCCAAAGTTTCACATTTAATAATTCTTTACATTATTGGCTTGTTTAAAGCATAGGACTATATGAATTATGGCTATCGCGTGGTAAGGAAAGGAAAAAGAGAATACTCCAATGCTTTATTTCTTTCCATGACTTCATGCTGCCTGCTATATCCCGTGAATTCCAATACTGATAGATCATGAACAATTTTCTTAACTTCTTATGTGATATATTTTCTTTTAAAAGCACTCCTGAGCGACGGAGTTCTGAGCTTGTTTCTTGATTGCAGATGCAGCTAAACAGATACGAAAACCGAAGCCTTGGAAGCATTCAGAACCTATTACGAGGGCTCAGCTTGTACAGATGCGTGATGAATTCTGGGACACAGCACCACATTATGGGGGTCGAAAAGGTAATCTCCATAAAATACGAGAAGTTTTACCATTATACTTGTTTCCTGTTTCTGGAATAATTGGTTCCTAGAGCCAGAAGATAGGAATTCTTACTATCTCAATTTTCTTATCCGAAAAGTACTATCTCATTGTTCTCTGTGCGTATTTTGTCATCGGTCCTTGCATTTGAGATGTTGTTCAAGGCATTGAGCTACTCTGTCTTTCATGTTGCACATCAATGGGACGTTATGTATGACTACTATTTGACCTCTGGCATTAGCTAGACTTTTTTATATTATAATGATGTTCATTGTGAAGCCAGAAAACATTATGTGCAACATCTACACCTTCGGGACTCCAAATACCTGAACTCGTTACACTCCCCCACCCCCCACACACTGCTATATGAATATATACCTCTGTGTACTTACAGGATAAGTTATAGCATAGCAGATGAAAATATCCTAACCATTATATTTCCTTCTTCAGAGATCTGGGATGCACTCCGAGCTGCAGCAGAGTCGGATATAAGCCTTGCACAAGCAATCGTGGACAGTGCCGGGATAATCGTGCAAGCCCCTGATCTAACAATATGCTATGACGAAAGAGGTTTGTAGTAGTACCCTTTGCCAAATACTTGTTGACTTCATTCCTGTGTATTGTCCTTGTATCTGGAGGTGGATCCAGGATTTGAAGTTTAGAGCTTCCTACAAACTACTTTAAGTTAGATATTACGATAATAAATCAAGTTAAAATATTTATAGATATTCCGTGAATGTTATAACACATAACACAATACTCTAGATCCGCCACTGATGTTTGTATCAACTGTTATTCTTTTGCAGGCGCCAAGTACGAGTTGCCCAAGTATGTTCTAAGCGAGCCAACTAATTTGATTCGCGATAACTGAAAACTGAAAAGTCAAGTTATTAATGTACAATGCTTCATTGAGACTGTACATTGTTGTAAATTTATTGTCACAAGTTATTTCTTTCTACAATTGATATTGTTTTGTGCATGATGGTCCTATCTCAAGATATCAAAAAAGGCTATATGCCCATAAATAGAACAGCAACCATTTACCAGGGTATTATTTTGGACACAATATAGAATTGGTAAAGTTGTTTACATCTGAGGTCACGGGTTTAAACTGTGGAAATGGCCTCCCGTAGAAATTTTGCAGGATAAGGCTACGTATAATAGACCTTTGTGGTTTAATCCTTCCTCGAAGGGCATAGTAGGAGCTTTAGTGCAACCGATTGTCCTTGTTTTAAGCATAAAATTCCATGAAAGGTTGTGATAGGGTTAAGGGTCGTACTGCTTTATCTTTAACTAGTTTCGAGCCTTGTAATCTCTATTTTAAGGTGGAAAGATCTCATTCAACTAACTATACGATTTGATAGTAGGTCGTTTTATAAGAGAGTATCATTTATGATAAAATGAAAATCGTGAAAAAAAATATAGAAATGACTTTCATTTTAAACGTACTAAATTAACAAATAAAATAAGATACATAAATTAAAGTGGTGGAGTAATATCGTAAATTTTATGTAATAATACATACTAAGAAGTCAATCTGGATTTGGTGTTTTATTGGTGGATAGTAGTTGATTTGTTTCTTTATATTGAATCTTTTATATTATTATTTTTTCAACTAATCATTTAGATCATCAAACTAATAATTTTAAAATCAAATTTCTAATATGTTTGACTGTTTGTTAGTTGTTAATTGCCGACATCTCTCCAAATTCACAACTTGTTAGTTGGTAAGAGTGTTTGGTTCAACCACTTGATCGATTAAAAGCTAAATTGCTCAAAAACCTCTCAGTTTGGACTTTTCAAGAATGTCGATATGTACATATACTTTAAAGATGTATTTTTAGAGGAATAACACAAATACGACAATTTTGAGAAAGTTCGAACAACATAGTTTGAAGATACAAATTTCATAAGCTTCTTCTATTTCTCAATTTCAATCAAACAACTTGGAACAAATCAAAAAAATACTTTTTTTTTGTAATTAAAAGAAATACAAACCTTGGAGAAAACTTAAGGTCTTCTTTTCAGACCAAATTTAAATCTTTCCCAAATTTGTAAATAATAAATAAAAATAAAATTCTTTTTAATTTTTTTTTCTCTTTTCTACATCTTAAACTTTTATTTAGGTACAAGAATGTCAAAATCAGTAACTGTCCACTCTGCCACTTGATTTGGATCTTTATAAATTTCAGTTCCCAAGTTGATTGAAGTCCATTTCCTTATTGCTGGTGTAGTTCCTGGATCCTACAACAAAATATGTTCCATAATTAAATTTTATTTAAGAAAAAAAAATCAATTTGGTAATCTAGCTCTATACCTAGGAAATGTTTCTCAATAATTATTAAATAGTATTTTGAAACGATTTTTAAGTTATACACACCATAGTTTAACGACTTTCAATATTATTAGTGTAATTTAACATGTTATAGCAGGTGTATTACTATGTTGTTCAAATATTTAATCTATGTTGTTCAAATTTTTCAAAAATGTCTACAAGTAGTGTATATTGGATTCTTCAAAAGTAGTGCATGCATTCTTGGAGAAGCCAACACAAGTGCGACAATATTTTTTGGAGAGTCTGAGCAACATAAGCTCTAATAACGACAAAAGTGTTTTTTCAAATTGATTAGTCAAACACAGATTGTTGCTCTTCAATAGTACTTTTTCAAAGACAAAAATACTTTTTGAAATAAGCAGATTTTAAAAGTTTGACCGAACAGAAAAAGAAAAGGGAAAAATAGATTCAAACCTGATAAAAATAAAGTGATTGTGACAACTTCCCAACATCAAGTTCCCATGTTTTTGGATCTCCAATCCAACCATCACCTTTCCTAGTAGGATAACCATAATCCCCCCAAACAGGATGTGGCAAAATCTGCAAAATCTCCTGAGGTTGAGGATTACTATAAGGATCACAATGAACATTAGGTTCCTCAATGTATTCACCATTTCCAGGTGCACAATACATATGATAAGCCTCATAAGGGAAACGAATCGTATCGTTTCGATGAATTCTTGATCCATTTGAGAAAATGTGGTACGGTGGACACAGTTTTGGACTATCTGGTTTGCACCATGATGGTGTTTCTGGATTCAATATCATCTCACTGTATCGCGTAACGTCTGTTGTTACATTCCCATCACATAACTTGCCATTGTTCTTCCAACAACTCCCTATGTCCATCAAGTAAAATTGGCTGTTTGGACCTCCTCCTTTTATCACATTTAAGGTGAATTTCACCTTAAAATTTGGTGATTCTGGTATCTACACAACACAAAAGTATCAATATCTACACAACAACAACAATAACATACTCAGTGTACTCCGTACTCCCACAAGTGGAGTGAGGATGGTCTGTACACAGTCTTACACTTTAACTTGTGAAGATAGAGAGACTGTTTCTGATAGACCCTCGACTCAAATATCAAAAAAACAAATATGTAAAAACATTTGATAAGTTTTTACTCACAATTTTTAACATGCCTCTAGTTGGATAATGATATCCACCAGAAAAACCAAATGTAGCATCTGATCTTAAGTAAAGCATAAGCCAAGGATACTTATTTGATGTCTTCAACACATGATGAAAAATCCAACTACCTTTTCCCAATTCTTTCTTCCATTTAACAGAATAAAAAGAAGAATTATTCTCTGTTCTTGATTTACTATGCAAATCCCATGTACCATAAAAACTCCCTTTAAGTGTAGTCCTATTAGCACCTTGTAAAGTTGTGTAGTTGTGAAAAATCAATGGTTGGTTCATACACCCTTTTCCGAAACACGGAAAGTTGTTATCAGGCCCGTACGGGCCAGATAACAGCCCGTTTTTCGGACACTTAGCAGCGTAAGTATCCATGTTTCCATTCTTGAGCATGATCATCCAAAATTGCCAAGGATTTGGCTTGTCTTCAACTTGACATTTTGATCCCAAGTAAACTTCTTTTTGTACTGCATAATGATTAACATCAAGAATTGCCTTTTTCTCCAATCCAAGAAATGATTTTCCTATACCTAACCTGTTTTCTTCCTCTGTTACTCTATGTACCAACATGTATGGTATTGCATTGCAAAGAGAACAATTATTTTCCCCTGTAAAAAGTATTATACATTAAATATTTCACACAACAAAACAACAACTCGACTACTTTTTTTTGGAGGCGCGTGAGTCAGATCAGCTATATGAATCCTTACTAATCATGTCGCTTCATTTATGGGAGATACGCGTTGCTTTTAGCATGGACCACATATCTATGTATATAAATATCAAGGCTTGAAACTATTAAGTTTAAATTCTGATTCCGCCTCTGGTTGATCTAACATATATGGAATTGCATTGCAATGAGAACAATTATTTGTCCTTGTATAGCAATAATCAGATATCTTTAAGACAATCTAGAGAAAACAACAAAGCCTCAAACTTATAGTCAGGTCGGCTATATGAATCATCACTGATCATATAAGCGAGGATTCATCATAATCATCTTGAAATCATGTGTTCCTTCATTCAAGTTTGTTAAACCAACAATGTGAGCAAGATCACACTAGCACAACATAAATACAAAACACATATACGAAAACTCGAAACATGGAATTCAACTTACCTTGTGATTTAGGAGAAGCTTTATAGACATCAAAGCAATCAGCAACTCTTGGACTTCCCATCTTAGGCACTTCTTCTCCAACTTCATTGCATTGATTCCATGCTTCTATAGCAACTCTTAGACCATCTCTTCTCATCCCCGAATCGCCAACAGCCGATATGTAACCATTTTCATGATCAAGATTTACACAAGAAACTCTATAAAATGACACTATGATTGAAAGAAGAGAAAGAACAAGTAACCAAGAAGAACAAGTTTCATGTTGAGCCATTGGTAAGTTTTCTAGACTATGTTAACACTTCTTATATATACTAAAACCATTGGGAAGGACAATGAAATGGGACATAATAATTTTTAGATCCTAATAGTATCCGAGTTAATTTCTCATATGATCACTTTACTAATACCTATTATCTCAAGAAGTCGGATTTTTTTCTTGATTCCAATTTTCTTCAACAGAAAAAGTAGCTTACTGAGATAATAACAGTTAACTGAATAACCATATGAAAAATCAACTCCGATCCCATTGATAACTACTCTCTTTATTGTTTCATTAACTTTACTCAACTAACTCCTTTAATGATAATTCGTTGTTAATTAGCGATAGATTTTTGTTGTTATTGTTTCATTAACTTTATTCAACTGACTTTTATTAACATCTTTGTCCTTTCATTAGAAAAAAATGCAACAACAACAACAGGATTAATTAGCTATAGATTTTTTAAAATATATTTTTCGGTAAATAACTCGTAGCTAATCGACTTATTGATAATTCATTGCTAAATAAGATTAGCGATAAATGTTTGTTGTATAGCAATTTCACAAAAAAAATAAAATAAATAGGAACCAATTATAGTGAGATATCTTGTTGTTTAGCGACAAAATTTATTACTAATTTTTTTTTCTTATTGTACTGTTTTTTCCTTTAGTTATATTTCTTCTATCGTTGTATGTCATCTGAATTAGAACTTGATTAAATCTTGATTCTATCGTAAATTTCCACATCAATCATGGGAGGTAAAGCGTTTTTCAACAGATGTGATATTATACTTAGCTTAAACTCGAGATATCTTATTAATTATATTTTACACCTATACAAGTGATTTGGTAAATTATGATATGGCAGCTGGTTTTGTTGTTGACACTTTCTCTTCTTTTTTTTATGATTGGTTAGGTTCCAACTTGATTTTGAAATAAATATTCAAAAGGATCTTTTTACCAAAACCTCTGAGAAAGAGAGATCTATTTATCAGCAAAATTACCTAACAAATTAATAATGTTTTCGTGGACTTGATCGTTTGATTCGCGAGTTAAGTTATCTCGAAATTATTTATAGTCCTGATATTATAACTCTTGGACTAAGTTATCGGATATCACACCTTATTGCATGAACCATAGACTAGTTCATTAATTCAACTTAAAAGTAAAAATAAAAAATGAAAGAAAACATTGTTTTGTTTTGAATAAAAGATATTGAAAATGTTTGGATAAATGGAAATCCCAATTTATTTATTTATTTTAATTTTTATTTGGTGTGAAAATATAAACTTTGTGATGAAGAAAAATGGGGTATTCTTGAACTCAAAGGGATGCTTTTTTTTATCATGTAACAAGAAAGTACAAGTATTGTTTTTTTCTTACTTTTTTTTTTTTTTTGTATTTTGATGACTTAAGATGCAAATATTCTTTTTTCAAGGAAATACTAAACTTTTAAAATTTCTTTTGTTTTTATGAACTTTATATCATCAAAATTGTAACCCCACAAGACCCATTTGAGGAAGTTTTGTAACAACTCCAATTTGCTATTGGGCTACAAAATCAAAAATTATGAGTGTTTTTGGTAGGTGGGAAATGGCCTTTTTAGGAAAATACTTTTCGTGAAAAATTATGAGTTTTTATATTGAAATGTATAGAAAGCAATTAGCGAATTTCAGTGAAATATAAGTTTTTATATTATTATTAATTTCTTATATTCAAAGTTTCAAAAAACTTTAGGCACTTTTTATCGATTAGATCGACAATTATTTAAAAAAAAAGAAGTAAATTCCCAAGTATAATAAATATAATATAATCACCAATAACAGTTGTAGTGGAGTAGTAAGTACTTCAATTTTAATCAAAAGGTTTCTGACCTTCAGGCTATAGTCCTAATGAGTACATAATCGTTTTTGTTTAAAAACGCTCAAATATGAATACTGGACATCGAAAAATAACCAAATACATATCTTTCTTTGACCAAATATGATCATTATATTCTAGATGTGGTTGAACTAAATTGTCTCTTAAATTGTACTTCTATTGAATTCCCAATAAACCTTTAGTTTTATATTTGATTTTTTTTATGTTGCCTACCTGAGTTTTCTCTTCTTGCTATACTATGTTAGTTGTCACCCTTTTTTGTTAATATAACCAAGATAAATTGTGTTCAGATCAAATTAAGTACATCTCGATTATTTCATCAAACATCTATTATTTGATGATACCAACGATACAAGTTTGCCTTACACCAATATAAAAATCGAATAAAGCTTAAGCACCAAGCAAATAAATTATCTGAAGTTTGCCTTACACCAATATAAAAATCGAGTAAAGCTTAAGCACCAAGCAAATAAATTATCTGGTATCCTTTGTCTCTACCAAAGTCAATTATCGACTCACCAATGAAAATTATAATGGAATGATGAATACTTCTTCATCCTAAAGCAGACGTCTCATATCAAACTCTGCTAGGTACAAAAGTCAATTTCTTTGTTTGAGAAATATTTTACCCCAATATAAGACTTTTCACAGTAAAATTGAATTTAATCGAACATCGATATCCGATATCGAAAATCAAATGAAAAAGAATGTTGACTCAACAATTCTGCACAATTTTCAAGGCCAAAAGAAGCAACCAATTTGCATAGACATGTTTTTTTTTTGCCCTTTTAATTTCTGAAAGGCCACACAAAGCATATAGAATCTTTGACTAATATTATTTCTTGTTGATAAGAAGACAGAAATTTCACACAAACACCACTTGTTTTGGATTTAAGAGTCCACCTTTGAAGACTAGCAGCCCTTAACCACATGGCCTTAACACTATTCATTTGCTCTTTTGGGTCTACAAACTTCTCCACTTTGAAAAAATGACACTAATGGCATGAATATATGAATAGACCAACTTGCGTCCGCCTTGACTGTTCACCAGAACATGCATTAGATAACTCTATAAGACCAAGATTTAGCTCGACAGGACGATATCACCTATAGCATTTTGTCTTTGTTAGGATTTAGACTCTAGTTCCCTGTACTTTTCACCTGCTTCATTGATAATTAAGGTCACACTTTCTCAAGATCTTGTTCATAATTTCAACCATAAGGAACTTGTGACCCTGACCATGACCAACATTCACCAGCAGGAATTGAACATCTTGGTATATCAACAATAACAACAATATACACATCATGTAGTCTCACAAGTGCAGTCTAGAGGATTAAATGTACGCTAAAGACGTTGTTTCCAATAGACCTTCAGCTTAAAAAGCAGTGAGATATCTTCTTTTTTTAAAAAAGGAAACACATCTAGGCTAACAATTTTCTCATCTTCAGACCAACAATATATTTCAGAACAAAATTCTATTTATACATCAACAAAGTCTATCCTTTTAGACTTTGTTGACATAGGAGAGATTAAACACATCGTTTCGTAATCAAATTATACACTAGTAATCAAATGTGCGAAACTGGAAACAAGAATCATCAAACAGAAATAAATTGACACAATTGATTGTCTAATGAAGAAGCAATACAAATATCAGGTGTACAGTCAACAAACGTTTTAACAATCAAGAACGTCTGAGTTACTGAACACATCGAGCAGCAACTATTACCTCATAGGAATCTAGCCGAGCTCTGGTAAACCATTCTTAGGGGCACGGAGGAATTAGTTTAAATGCTAACAGATCGAGAATCATAAAAGATATCCACAACCATAACATATCCAGAATCAGTATAGACAGTATAACACACGTCGTGTGTTTCTATTAATAGCATGAAACAACTGAACACCCTGAGCAGAAGAATATAATAGAATCATATATAGCCTACCCCAACTGATTTGGGATTTAAATGCTGGAACGACGACTCATACAAACATTGCATATTCATACAAGGATAACAAGAGAAATAAAGCAAAAGGATTGCATTAACATAGTGCTAGAAAAATTACTCTCATCTTATGTAACACAAATCGGCAACATGGACAGGCAAGGCTGGAAAGAATATAACTACATAATACATGAAATTGTGCCAGACTAGCATTAAGACTGATCGACTCTATCATTCACTACATCATGTCATGCAAAAACAAAAAAAAAGAAGGTTAATATACCAAAATTCTATGTACTCAGACAAATCACTTTCTCTAAATTTACAACAAGAAACAGGCAAATAAACATTTACTATCAAAAATAGTACATACCCTGCCACATTACATTCACTCTGCTGGAGTAAGATGTCCCAACTGTTCTGTAAGGCTAATTACAGTCTTCCTGTTCCACCAAAATTTCCCATCCTCAACTGTTTTGGATTCACTTATTTTGCTCTCCATATCTTCTCTCTCCGGCTTTACATCAGTAGAACCAGGGTTCTCAGTAAGGAATTGTTCCCAGAATACATCATTTACTCCTGTTGGCACATTGTGACTAGCAGTCTCTACTCGGTTTTCTGGCGGAGTAACATCAGGAGTAGTGTTTCCATTAGGCTCAGAGTTCATGTCAATATCAGAAACCTTAGATCCAACATCAACAGTTAGTTGTGGGTAAGATATAGCAGGGCTATCGGCACAACTGATAGATTCATCCAAGTCTATTGAAGAGCTCCGTCTCATTCTAGTTTGATCAATGTCACGCAGTGTATACTCCCAAAAGGTCAAAGAAGATTCCAACTGATCTAGCACTTCCTTGTTGAGAGTCGAAAGAGAAGTATGGTCCATATTTTCCCTAGTCGTATTTTCAGAAGAACTCGCTTGATTATCTTCCAGGCCTATTTCATTGTAAAGAAAACTGTTTCCTGGCAACCTTCTCTTCCTTTCATTCATTTCCAGTTGTGGCATGAGACTCAAAGCTAATCCTGGTTTATTTATGGTTCGAGCTAAAGTAGACAGCACGTTCTTTTGCCGGTCTTTCACTTGTTGGACACGTTGGTTAAGGACCTGCATTTGCATTTCAAGTCCTTGATGATCCTGTTTATGCCTGTGTAGAACTAAATGAAGTGATTCGTTCTCATGCTTCAACTTTTCAATATCTTCCTTATACCCTTGTCTTTCCGATTCGGTCAATGCAGATGATGAGAGGCTATGAATATTCTGTACAGAATGACTGTGAACAGGTTTCCGTCTATAGATATTCTTCAAAAGGTGTGGCTGACCTCTAAGAAAATCCTCATTTGCGAATTCCCATTGTTCGGGATCTATTTTCTTGAATCCCTGGTTTGACAAAAGAGCAAACGACATGAGAATAAGAATAAAAGCAGTAAAAGATTGAAACTCAATTTAAAAATAATATCACTGCAAATGAATCAAGTAAAACCAATTTCTTACGTAAGTATTCAGCTGTCGGATAAAGCTGGAAAAATTATTGTGCTTAAAGTATCTGGGCAACAAATCTCTTGCAAAATCAGGAGGATTACGAACAATAAAACTTTTATTGTTTAAACTCCATGAGACTATTGGATCAGTGGAGGGATCATCCACCATTTCATATATCTTTGCAATAAACGGAGGCAGTGCATTGACGCTGCAAGGAGCTTCATCCATGGTAAATTCAAATCCAAATCACAACCCCTTGAAATGAAACTCACAAGGCGAAGCTCAACTACAAGTGACAAATCCTTACTGACAGGGAAGATCAACTTATCAGATTCCCAACATACAGATACAACCAACCAAAAGTGTTATCACCTTGATTTCCTTCGATAAATTCAATTGAAGCAGCTCCCACCTGATCATACAAATTCTTAGCAAATACACATTTCCATTCAAGTCCCAGCTCTGGATAGCTTTCAAAACACACAAATTTGCTAAAGAATTGTTAAAAGAGATTGCGGCCCATCATGAGTTCCCACAAGTGCTCAAACAAATGCTAGCTTGAATTCAAAAGATAGCCGTTTCACCCTCTAAAACTCAGAAATTTCCGAACTTTCCTGCATTTACAACCAATCACAGTCAAAATTAGAAAGCGTAAAGATGAGAAATGTTAAACACTTGTCAGAATACCTAGAAACCCAATACATCAAAGTCATTAAAACAACCATTATTACTCCCAAAACTTCAATAACAAGCTCAAATAACTTGTCTTCAAAGAAAACCAAGACTTCCAATTCTCATTCAAATGCGAAAAACGCAGTATTTCACACTAATACTCGAGAAATTTCCAAAACCCATTCTCCCTTCAGTTTACAAGCACAAAACCAGAAAGGTGCAAGAAGATGAGAAAAGTTAATCACTTTAGAGAAACAATTTACATCAAAGTCGTTAAAACAATCATTATTACTCCCAAAACTTCAAGAAAAAGCTCAAATAAATTGTCTTTAAAGAAAACCAGGATTTTTAGTGCTCAAAGAAATGCTAAAAACAGTTCTTTTTTTCACTAAAACTCAGGAATTTCCAAAACCCAACTTCCCGCAAGTCAAAATCAGAAAGTGTAAGAAGATGAGAAACCTTAATTACTTAATAAATCATCCAGAAACAATTTACATCAAAGTCGTTAAAACAATCATTATTACTCAAAACTTCAAGAAAAACTCAAATAACTTGCCTTAAAAGAAAACCAAGATTTACATTTCTCAAACAAATGCTAAAAAAAGAGTCTTTTTTCACACTAAAGCTCAGATATTTGCAAAACCCAATTTCCCTTTTTTTACAACTAATCACAGTCAAAATTAGGAAGTGCAAGAAGATGAGAGAAGCCCATCACTTCACAGATTACCCAGAAACCCATTACATCGAAGTACTTAAAACAATAATCATTACTCCTAAAACTTCAAGAAAAAGCTCAAACCACACACATAACTCAAAAATTTGCAAGCAAACTTTCCCTGTCAAAACTAGAAACAAAAAAAATGAGAAAATAACTTGATGGATTACCCAGAAACCCATTACATCAAAGAAGTTGAAACAATAATCACTACTCCCAAAACTTCAATAAAAAGATCAAAACACACACACAAACTCAAAAACCTTGCAAACACAATTAACTAGAAAGTGCAATAAAATGAGAAAAGTTAATAACTTTACAGATTACCCAGAAACTCATTACATCACAGTCTTTAAAAACAACCAAATTTAATCCAAAAACAATCAAATTAACTTCGAAAACTTCTAGCAAAAGTTCAAACCACACATAAATACAAAAACACACAAAAGACATACAATAGAAAAGTTAATAACTTCAAGATCACCCAGAAATCCATCACACCATTAAAACTTAAAACAATCACTATTACTCCGAAAACTTCAATCAAAAGCTCAAATCACACACAAAACTCAGAAAATCAGCAAACACAATTAACTAAAAGTGCAAGAAATTGAGAAAAAGTTAATTACTTTACAGATTACCTAGAAACCCACTCCAGCAAACTCGTTAAAACAATCACAATTACTCCCAAAACTTCAACCGAAAGCTCAAATCACACATAAATATAAAAACCCACAAAATATATACAATTCTAAAGTTAATAACTTTACAGATCATCCAGAAACCCATTACATCAGAATCGTTAAAAACAATCAAATTTACTCCAAAAACAATCGATTTTACTTCTAAAACTTCAAGCAAAAGCTCAAATCACTCATAAATACAAATACCCTTAAAAGATATACAATAGAAAAAGTTAACAACTTTACAGATTATCCAGAAACCCATTACCTCAAATTCGCTAAAAAACAATCAATTTTACTCCAAAAAACTTCAAACAAAAGCTCAAATCATGTCAAATCTGAAAATACAAGAAATCCATTGTGAGAAAATTACCTGTAAGAAAAAATCAAGAATAGTCCTTAACAAGAAGAAGCACATAGAAAGATGAAGTTTACTTTGACCCTTTTCTCAAAGACTTCTTCTCAATGGTTTTTGGATGTTTATTCATATTTTATTATATATAGTTTATATAGGGTGGTTATTTTAAGAGTGTGAAATGAGTAGTTAAACCACTTAGCCAGTTAATATAAGTGAGTTAATAAAGATATTTTTAAAAAAATTGCGATTTATAATTATATGTTATTAAGAGAGAGGCGATCGAAATAGAAAAAGAGTTGAAAGAGGCGATGAATATATATTGTATTTGATTGTATCATTAATATAATTAATTTGTATCGACGAATTTAATTATATTAAGTTGTATAAATTTGTATCAACGGCTTGAGCGCTCAAAGTTTTCATCATTTCTCATCTGATACAAATCACTCGCATGTATCAATAAAATATCATCTGCTCAAGCCGTTTGTTGCTTATTAGATTTTAATTTAGTTGAAAGATAGATGGAGAGGTTATGAGAATGAGAGAGAGTCGGTAAGAGATGGATGAGGGGAGAGACGGGTGAGAGTTTGAGAGATGGGGAGATTTTTCTATAAAACCCTAAGAGTAGTTATTTAATGTAATTCTTTTAATAATTGTGTATAGTAAATACATAATACATACTATGTCCAATTTATGTTTGCATTTTTTCAATTAAATTTATTCAAAAGAGAACGACACGTTTCTATATTTAATATCAATAATTTGTATTTAAAATGTTCAGTTCATCCTTAATGAGAAAATCTATAGTAACACACAAATATTTATGATTTTTTTCAAATCATAATTTTGTTTCTTAAATTTTTTATCAAGTCAAACAACATCGTATAAATTGAAATTGAGATAATGCATTTGGGGATTCGACGATAAAGATCGAACAACGATCTTACTTTTCTCCTCATATTCGAAAAAATTTATGTTAATATACTCTCTTAGTCTTTTGACATTATGTCAAATAACCCCTTAATGATATGAGCATTTATGTTAATATACTCTCATATCATTAAGGGGTTATTTGACATGATGGATAAAGGATTAATGACGAGATAAAACTTAGGATTGTTTTATGCTGTATTTGTTAGGATTTCTTAGTTAATTTCGAAATTGTTTATCACTATAAATTATAGGATAAGTTATCAAGGTATGTTGTTTGAATGACTAATCATATAGGATATACTAATTAATAATTACTCTGTCTATTTCATCCTCATATCAATCGGCCTCTAAGAGTATCATTTATAATTATATGTAAAAAAAATTTTAATGTGAATTTTATTGATACACCTCATAATATTTCCCTCAAACTAAATTTAACTCGGTCTATTATCACAATCCACGAGTCTCCCCCCTTAAATTATGTTCTAAATGGCTAATTATCACGATCCCTTAATTAATTTTTGAAATTAATTGTGCGCTATCCCCTCTCTCTCTATATAAAATCGAACATTAATTAAATCCAACAAATCCTAAAGCTAACTTCTTCTTACATGCTTATTATGATTCACCTTTGGCATTGTAATTGTCGAGTCACAAACATCAATTTGTTATCTTTATATTATATATATTTGATATCAATTTGTTGGGATAACTAGCTTAAGTCGATACTCTTTAATATGACATAATATCATTTATTTTGGATTAAACATACATGATGTGTATTCTAGATTTCACCGAAGTATTAAGACTATATTCCTACAACTCATATATACAAATTTTTGATCTTATCGATATCAATATAAAATTTTATTTATGCATAAGAGTATATCCCTACAGTCCTATATAGATTTTTGATCTTATTGATATCAATATAAAATTTTATTTATACATATGTAGTATTGTAAATTTATATATTATCTAATATACCCATAATAAGGATTGCAAAATATTTTTTTTTCGAAAAAACTATTCAATCCGACCCTTAAAATATAGATTGGATCATTGACCATTTAAATATAGATCAAATATAGATATTATCTACTAAAAAAAATTAAACATTAAGATAAAACAAAATAAATATTTATATTATAATTAATATTCATTTATTTTTTTTGTCCATGATAATATGGACGGATCATATTTTTCTTCAATATTGAGGAAGACATCCTAACAACTTAATTAAGTATTATATTCATATCCAGTTTAGTGAGATATTCAAGATTAATTAATTAGCTTTATCCAAGATTTACAAGAAGTCAACACAATGAGATTTTTTTTTGTATAATACGAAAAAAGTAGGGGGAATAAATTGAAAAAAGAATCCTCATTATAATTTAAAATTTATTAGTTTATTAAATTTTATTATTGCCACATTTTCAAAAAGGCAACTAAAAATAAATTATGCATGCGCGTTAAATTAGTTAAAAATATCTTGGATGTTTTAATAATATACGAAGATAATTATGATTTATAGAAAGGACCAAAATTTAACCATAAAAAAAAAATAAAACCTTTATGAATTTTTTCATACTACACAAATACACAATGAAAACTATGGATCCTTTAATTAAAAAATTTTTCTTACTATTGACAAATTTAAGTGATTAAAAAATATTTAATACATTTGATTATTTTCTTCCTTGAATTATATTCTCAACGTAAAATATTTACATGGAGTGCCACGTGGTCCCGCCAAAAGTTGAAACGACGTCGTAAAGGAATATTCATGCACAATGGCATTCACTTTCCATGCAGCTACCTGCCTTACCCCCCACCCCCACCCCCTTTAAAAAGACTAAACACGTGCACTTCCCACATTTCCAGGACTAAAATTATATATTTTTTAAAAATAAATCAGTAGGAGTCGTTTGGTTATAAAAATTAGGGGTTATTTCGATATAAAATTTGGGATTAAGTCTATTCGATATTTTCATCGTGGATATTAGTTAAAATTAGAGAAGTGAAACGGAGATAATTCTAACATGCATTTGAGTAGAGATATGTCAACAAAGTATTAGGAGAATGTGAAAAGACCGGACATGACGTACCTTCTGCTATACTAATCAAGACATAACCCTAGATAAGAAAAAATCGAGAATTAAGATAGAATAATAATTGATAACGATTGTTAGTATCGCACTTCAGGTGAGTGAGGTAAGCGGCTAGTCTCCTATAGCTCCTCTCCTCCTTATGTGTAGTAACAGTAGTCGTGTAATTCCTTATTCTTCGATGTGTGCTACTATTTGTTTGCTTCATTGCTATTATATTTTTTATATTTCACGCTTTAATAAAAAAAAATTTGAGTCGGTGCACATCAGAAACAATCCTTCTACAAACAAAAACAGGAGCAAACATATATATACACCTTATTCTTTCTTGACTCCACTTATAAAGTTATATTAAATTTACAATTATTGTATATAAAATATGTTATTTATTCTGATTATCGTTAGGGGCAAAGCTACAAATATAGATTAGACAAAACTCAATTGACTTGAATCAAATCTCATAATTTATTTATCTGCCAATGTGAAATCTAATAAACTTAAACACTATAATAAACGCATAAACTAAAAATTATGACTCTACTTCGACTAATTTCAATCTTTGAAAATTGAAATAACTTTTTTTCCAAACCAAACAAAACCTAAGTGGCAATCTACGTAATATTTTAATCATTTAGTGGCAATATTAAACTCACCGTTCACATATTTACTTCTCCCTCCTCTTCTTCTTCTTCATCTTACAAATTTTCAACTTCAAGCCGATCCAGAACTAAACCGGTTTCACACTCGAACCGCTTTTTTAATCCGGTTCGATCTCTATTTACAGCAGTATTCCGGCGACCTGAATGACTTCCGGCACGAGGTTACCGACATGGAAGGAAAGAGAGAACAATAAACGGAGAGAACGACGGCGAAGAGCAATCGCCGCGAAGATCTTCGCCGGACTTAGAATGTACGGTAACTATAAGCTTCCTAAACACTGTGATAACAACGAGGTGTTGAAAGCTCTGTGTAAAGAAGCTGGTTGGATCGTTGAAGAAGATGGAACTACTTACAAAAAGGTAAATTGAAGTTATTGCCTTTTTATACTGATTTTTTTTGTTCATCTATCGAAACTGAGCTGATTAATCGATTCGGATTGAGCTAATTTTTGTTTTATTTTCGATCGGAACATCAAGTTTATAGATTCATGGTCTGTGATTTTCTGCAAAGTTTGAATATTTCTACAAAATGCTCGATTTGGACGAGATTACCCCTGCGGAATACTTGCATCTTCACACTCTTGTCTATACTTTAGCTTTGTTGTAGAAGGTCAACGCAGTCATCTTTTTATGCGTTTGGCCATAGATTTAAAATATTTTCACTTTTTTCCCACGAATTTGTGGAGCTGGAGTTGAAAATTGAAGAAAAATAGTTCATGAGCTGTTATTGAGTTTGAATTTTCACGGCAAAACATTCATTTTCGAATAAAGTGTAATTATTCCGAGAAAAAGTGAATAATTTTTATGGTCAAATGTGTCCAAATTTACTGCATTTTCACCTGTGATGATGCTTGAAAGCGACGTTCTTAGAGTGATTGCAGTTTCTGTCTCCTGACTCGAGCAGATTTTTTTTTACTTCTTCAAAGGGCATTTTGGGAATTTCAAATGTTCACCACTCAACCCACATAGTACAACCTCTTGATGCATCATTGTCTCTGGCATTGTCATCCCATATTTCTAACAAAGTTTTAAGTTTTATACACTGATGATGTAAAATACAAACGCAAAAGCTAATAACCAGTAAATTATCATAATAATAGTAGTAGTATAGTAAAAGATACTCTCAACTTTTCAATCTACATGGAAAAATTTGAATATGTACTGAGTTTAAGAAAAAAGGAGAACTTTTTAAACTTATGGTTTAAAAAAACATGAAATAACATTTACTAGCTATAAGACTGTTGAAATGTTAGTCTTAAACATTTCATAAAACTGTGTGGTTTTAAAAATTTCTCATTAATGGTATAATGATAAGTTTAAGATGAGATTTCTAATTTTAGAAAGTTGTTATGTTTTTCCAGAATAGACTGTACAGGAAATCTGTCATATAAATTAAATTGGCGGGAGTATAACACGTTAAGTTATTTTTTATATTGTCGGGTCATATAGCAAGGGTGGAGGTAGCCTTTAGCATATGGGTTTGGCTGAATCCAGTTTCGTTGGTCCAAACCATGTATGTATGTTAAAGATAAACTACTAGCGCTGATGGTTGCCGACTTGTTGTCCTAGAATTGAGAGCTCTTAAAACTCAAATCTTGGATCTGCGTCTATCGATAAAGTTACATTAGTTTCTAATAATTTGTGTATGCAATTTGGTTAGTCTTTTACCGAGATTTCCGGGGTTAAATGCATTGCCAATATAAAGTCAAGCATGTGATTCAATAGTTGTTTTGAGGTGGTGTGGATTTGTTATCAAATTTGTGGGCCTTAGATGTTCTTGAATGTTGGGTGTCATTTATTATACTTTATGTTGTAGTTTGTTATAAAGTTTATAAGGTATAATTATAATATAAAAGGAAAGTAGATATCAAATCTTTGGATTCTGTATCACAAAAAAAAAAAGAGAAAAAAATGGAGTAACTAATTGTTGAGGCTGTAAAGCGTGTGGGGAAATTAATTTTGTATTGGATGAGAGAACTGTTTATATGGGTCTCAGAGTATAAATTTATAATCATGGTGTTGACACTACTGATAGTGCCATCATTCTTTGCCCCTTTAGGATGTGGGTGTGGGTTATGTCCAATTCTTTTTGGGTATGTTGGTACTTTTATATCATGAATATGTAGGGATTGTCTGTCAATATAGTGAGTCTTTTGGTCAATGGTGGGAAGGGGGACCAATAATTCATAATTGTTGTGGATGAAAATTTTAGTGTCCATTTTATGACAAAAAGAGTTCAGATTTTTGGTGATGCATTTGGAGCCTAAATCTAAAAATTTTGGAAGGTGGATAACAGTCACCACTGGAGTGCTAAAGATGATTGCACTAGTACTTTTTATGAAGGTGGTGTCCCCACAGCTTGAGATCTATTAGAAACAACCTTTTTACATGCACAAGTTAGGGGTAAGGTCTGCATACACACTACTACCTAGACCCTCACTTGTGGGATAACACTGGTATGTTGTTGTTGTGTTGATGTCCCCGCCAGCTTCTGCGTAGCTCAATTAATTCGTCCGGACACAAGTTCTTCCACCAGCACAAATATCGGGTGATGAATCCAGTAATTTTTTTTGAATTCATGTGGAATGAGGTCAATTGGAGTGGATGAGGAACTCTTATATTATGTATGGACTGAGTTAAATTATTAAGGACTACTAAACAATCTTCAAAGTACCTTAGTTAAAAATATTCGTGTCAAACAGAAAATGGTCTCACTATACTGTTGTCTTACTAAGCCATAAGGAACAGGAGGATCAACCCATGTGGAGAAATTTGATTTGCCTCTTCAAAACAGAAGGAAATTTGGGAAGACTAGAACTTGGTTGAGGGTCCTTGCATACGGTAGGGTCTTGTCCTTAAGAAGATTCAAATAAGAAGAGAGTTGACCCTGATACATGCACCTTCGTACAAGTGCTGCATACATGATTGAAAAAGATGCAACCAATTTGAACCGCAACTAGAAAGACCATATGATTAAGTACTTTTTACCCTTGTCATCAGCTTATATAGGTGATTTACTTGAAAATGGTCTTCTCAGTGAAAAAGAGGTGGACTTTTTTTTGGTTAAAAAAGCAAACTTTATTGCTGAGCTCAGATCCATCTGAAGGTGATTTTTCTGCAAATGACTGAAGATGAATTTCAAATTTCAATTTTACATATAGGTGAATTAAGATGTTAACAATATACATTAAAGATATGAGGTCCTACCAATGACTATTTGGTTTAACTAATTTTTTGGTTAATCCATGCAAATGGTTTTCCATTTCATTGGGTTTCATCTCCTTTCATTCCCTGTACTTGTAAGTTATGTACTGTGATCCTGATCAGCCAATAGTATCAATCATTGGATAAGTAAAGATCAATGGTCTCAGAAGAGCTGAGTTTTGTTGGTCCATGTGTTGTAGAAGTTGGCTTCTAACATCAAAGTAGATTGCTAACCTCATAAGAACAGAATTTCGTTGCTCCAGGTTCATAATATTACTATTTTTCAAGTGCTGTCTCTGCTTCTGTGTCGACAGGTAAATTATAGAAGAATGGTAGAGATGAGCGGTCAAGGTACAATCTGGTGTGCAAAATTAGTGTGCATTCTTGGTGGCTTTTGTTTGAGTTGATATTTTAATCAATGACTTGGAAATTATCAAGGCATTTAGGTCTGCCTGATTGCTTGGCACTAAAATACGATCTTGTTAATGCTGCATACAACAACAAAAACAACAAACCCTTTCTTATCCCACAAGTGGGATTTGGGGAGGTTAGATAGGGTAGAGAGGCTGTTTCCAATAGACCCTCGGCTCAAAGATTGTTTATGCTGCGTCTAAAACTTAGATGTCTGATGTCTTTAAAAAATGGTTAGAACTTAAAAATTGATGATCCTGGCTCATTGTTTATCAACCAGTAGTCATCAATGTGCAACACCTTATGAATATGATGTTTGCTTCTGCCATAATTGCATTGTTCTGGTGACAGATTTATTCTCGATTCTTTTTGTGATTATTCGTTTTTGTATATGCTAATCGATTCTCTATATTCCAGGGATGCAAGCCAGTAGGACATGTGGATATTATAGGTTATTCAGCATCTGTAAGCCCCTGCTCATCTTACCAACCGAGTCCGGGTGCTTCGTATAATCCAAGTCCTGCTTCATCATCTTTCCCTAGCCCAGTCTCATCCAATTATGTTGCAAATGTCCAAAATAATCATGATCCTAACACCCTAATTCCTTGGCTTAAGAATCTCTCATCCGGATCATCGCCTTCATCATCCAGATTTCCCCACCATTTGTACATTCCTGGGAGCTCTATAAGTGCGCCTGTTACTCCACCTTTGAGCTCTCCCACAGCTCGTACACCTAGAATGAGCGATGATCCCATGGCAAATTCAGGGTGGGCACAACAACACTATGCCTTCTTACCATCTTCTACCCCCGCCAGTCCTGGTCGTCAAACACCACCAGATTCTGGTTGGCTTTCTGGTGTTCAAACTCCACAAGACGGACCTTCATCCCCTACGTTTAGCCTTGTCTCACCAAATCCATTCGGATTCAAGGAGCCAATATCAAATGGAGGGTCTCGGATGTGGACACCAGGGCAAAGTGGGGCATGTTCTCCTGCCATTGCCTCAGGTATCGACCAAACAGCTGACGTACCAATGTCGGATGCTATTTCAGCAGAGTTTGCATTTGGCAGCCATATGATGGGATTAGTGAAGCCATGGGAAGGTGAAAGAATTCACGAGGAGTGTGCTACTGATGATCTCGAGCTTACACTTGGCAACTCTAGCACTAGGTAACCTCTTCTTATTACCAACTTTTTCTCATAAATATGTTTGCAACACGCCTATGCTGACCCACAGGCAAAGTTAGTTTATAACGGTGATGTCTAGGCTAGCTCGCGCGCACCTCGATTAATTTTACTGGTTTCCTTGTACCTCCCACTTAGCATAGATATACTAACCGTCCACCAACGCTTGGACAAAATAGAATGAAATCACCTAGTGCTTTACTTTAGACCTTTTCTCCTCCCCCTCCATTTACCACTAGGTCACACACTCGAGTCTGATATTATTTCTTTTGCTGATTTTGCAGATAGAGAAGTACAAGAGAAGTCTACTTAATTCATTGATTTTGATCATAAACATATCTTTGTGCAAATTTGAAGTTTAACTTATTATGTCAATCACTTCTGAATGTGAAGATGTTGTGGTTAGTAAAACCAGTTTAAAATGCACAGTAGCAACAAATGATACATTTTCTTGTAGATTGAAGTATTTATTTTCGCACATTTCCCCATTAATTTTCCCTGTATTTGTAGTACTATCCCAATTTTTTATATTCTTTTTATTTTTTTTCCTCTTTCAAGATTGGAATTACTTTTTTTATTTTTGTAGTTATCTTTTGTAATTGTTCACATCATATAGTATGTAGGAGTTGACTTACAAGAAGTGTTTTTCTCTATCTTACTGTTTATTTACGATTAACGTTAATTAAGTTGAACACCAAACGTTTTCTAGTTGAGTTTGATGTGTATAACTCTCATCGACCACCTATATAATTCGTCATTCATTTCACAACCATCAACTACCTTCACCAAGCACAACCATCATCGCGATTAACATTGTTGCTACATTTAAGTACAACACCACATAAATTGAGATCTTCTCACATTTAAAGATATTATCTTAATAATAAAATATATACAATTCAAATATTCTACATTTTATATGTCGTCTTAGACCTTAGTACACACATTAAGGTCATATATATGGACCTGGGGACAATATAACTAGTGATTTTGATAGTTAATAACTAAATATGGTGTCAAAGCCACTTTGCCCACAATGTTAGGGATGTGGTATGCCTTGTATCGCGATTTGATATAATATAAAGTTTAAGCAAATATCGATCGATGTTAAGTCGTATTACATATGTAACACACTTAGTTAAGTATGTATGTAATAAATCAAATTTTAGACTCTAATGACGCGTTTAATCAAAGTCAAGGGGTCTATATGTCTTTTGAAAAAAACAATGTAAAAAAAATAGACTAATGATTTCCTTGTGATGAGAAGGAAGAAAATTATAAAAAAGTGAAGTGTATATCACAAGAGTCATTGCCTGCCATTTCAATAAAGATAAATCAACTAACAAATTCCATGAATCATGGGGAAAAATGACTAAATACTTTCTTTTGCTCTTAGCTACAATATTTTATTATTACTTTTCCTTATTCATTCACAAGAATTATGTGTGAACACTTGGTTCAACAAAGTAAGATTCCAAAAATAAAGTGGTGTAGTATCAAATTTGGACTTTGGATATATAAGATAAAGTTGAATAGTTAGAAATATCTTATGTTTGACTGTTAGTTAAGATTATCGATTGGAATTGTGATGGAACGGATAAAATTTCTTTATTTTTAATTTAAGATTTCAGGAGATTCGACCGTTGAATATTAAAAAAAGAAACATGTTACGGAGTAATATAATTCCCCTTGAATATAGACGTCTTACAGGGTTACGAATTTAAATTAGTCAGGATTTAATATGAGTATCATACGAAACCAAAATAGATATGTTAGTTATTATGCAATTTTAATCTTTTACAATATATATATATATTTTGAGACGACAAGTCAATATAAGAGCATTTTGGAGACTTTTAATTAGAAATGGTAAATAGTGGGATATTTTAGTGGGGTTAATGCATGCGGGTTAAAAAAGTTGTTTTTGCATGGCATTAATCATGCAATTTTTTGTGGGTTGTTGAATTTTTTTCACTCATATAAATATTTGTGTAGCTTTTTATTAATTAATTAATTAATGTTCAATTTTAGCGTTTTTCCTTTGTTGGGCTAAGTTGTAAAAGAAGCTTCTGTTTGATTTCCTAATTAATATGGAATAATAATATAGTTGAAGCATGTTACGATTTAACTCATTACTGGTAATATTATTCGCTTTAAATTTTAATTTACACTATTTTAAAATATCTTTGATTTGCTTTTAATTTTATATATTTATACATATGCTATTGTGTTTTATCGATGTAACATTTATGTGTTAATTACGTGGCATCACTCAAATATTATATGTCCCTATAAAATGATGCAATCATGAGAAAATTATGAGATCACACAATGAAGAATATAAAGTAGTTACTCAAAAGTTTTTGACTTGATCTAATACAAAGTATATTGCTTGTTCTTTTTGACATCTTCAATTAATAAAACAAAATAAATTACTTTGTCATGTCAAATTGAAATATATTTAAAAGAATATCATTCTACGTGCACTATCACTATAAGTATATAATTTACATGTAATATATTTACATACATGATCCAAACGGTTTAAAAGGTTTGGTCTTTCACGTGAACACGAGAGTTTTCGAGTAACAATAAAGTTAACTTTGTGGTATTCATTAATAGATCCTAAATTTGAATAGTGAAATAATTAGAAGCGTTAAAGATAAGTTGTTTGTCTACTTCACACTTTTAGAAATTCACCCGTTTCTCAAACTAGTGAATGCATGACGTATGTTTAATGCATCAAACTGTTCCAATTTTTGATTTTTCATGTGAAGAGCTTAGTAAAAGTTCACGTGAAGAGCTTAGTACGAGGATAAAATTAACTAAAAGCGAATTTATGATTTGAAAGTACTCAAGTTTCATTCAATACAAATTATAACAAAATTTATAATTTGCAAAAAAGAAAAAAAGTGTTAGAAGATATAATTAACTAAATAAATAATAGTTTCACCTTTCAAACATTTTAATCATTTAAATAAGATCTTCATCTTACCATCCTCTATTGTAAGTTTTGCTCCTTATTTTTTTCTATTATAAGTAGATATTCCCTTCGTCTACTTTTATTTGTCATATTATATTTTTTGAAAATCAATTTTTGATTAATTTTCAAAGCTAAATTGGATTACATTAATTCGATATTTTAAATAAAAAATTTAAATATTCAAAAACTAAATGAAAAATACTACAAATTGCAATTTTTTGTATATCAATATGATTTCAAAAATTACATTTTAAAATGTTCGTCAATATTCTCATAGTTTAACTCTAAAAATAAAAATCACGACAAACAATAGTTGACAGACAGACTATATATATGAGTCATATATATATATATATTCTCCTTTGGATGATTTGGACATGCTTATTGTTCTAGGATTCTAGTATATTTCCTATGCAAAAAATGTAGTAATTCTATAGAAACATAGAATCTATCAAGCTATAAATGTTCCTTTCTTGCTTTTTGCCTAATGTTCGGTTCTTGCATCATATATAATTTGATTAATTTAAGTTAGTATTATAGTATAAGGTTTATTAAAAATGTAGAGAAATCTTTTTTGTTAAGATATTTTTTTAATATTGATGGATTAAATTCTAAATCTTCTGTCGAGAGTAAATATATTCAGAAATTGAATTCAAAATTTTAAATCTTAATTCGTATCATATAAAATTTATTCAAAAAAATTAAGTGTGGTTTTTGTCTTATATTTTTATAACACTCAAAATTTAAATTCGAAATATCTGATTGAGGTACGTAATGTCTTTGGACAATAATGGTGAACTGTTAGTAACCTTTTTCATGTGTCATCCTCAGCCTTCCTATATTCTCTAAGAAGGAAAAATGACAAGTTAAAAGTAATGAATTATTGAATTATAATATCAATTAAATAGATTATAATAGAGCAATTAAAATTACCAGCCATCAAATAACGTTTATACCAAAGAACAAATATACTTATTAGTATTAATATATGTAGTAATTTCTAAGTGTGAACATTTGCAATTACTTTAAAACTCACCCTCCTATACTAATAAAATAAATCTACTAGACAAATATAAATAAAAAATGTTAATTTGTATAAATTTTAAAAGCTAATTTAATTACGTTTCAATAAGGATATAAGACATTAAACGAGAAATCAAAAAAAATAATCTTATGTAACACATTCGTCTATTGAACTTATTTAAAATCAATTAAATATTTAAAAAAAATTGTATAATTAACCACAAATATTAAAGACTTTTTGTTTTCTTAAAATTTTATATTAAATTAAATAGTATCAGAGACCAATAAAGTATTGCTTCTTAATTTATAAAAGATTCAAAATACTACAACTATAGTATAAAAATGATATTAGAACTTTCATTTATCAAGTGGATATTTAGTAGGGCAATTAGTGAATGATTTGTGACAAATTTTCTTCTTTGTATTCATAACCAGCTTCTTGTTGGATCAGATATAATGCACTATCATTATTTACAGTTTAATTAATGCTACAAACTTTTCAACTATATCCACTAAAAAAAAGATTTATTAAAAACTCACATTTGAAGGTGTTTTATTTTTTTTTATATAGCTTATACTATTTTTGATATGGAAAATTCCCTTTAGGTCATATTATGTTATTTTACTTTTTTGAATATTTTTATTTTTTTAATTTTAATCTTTTTTAATTAAAAAAATTAATTTATTTTAAAATAAAAAATATTATATACTTTTTTAATTTACTAACCAAATTTTCTGAACATTTAGTATTATTCTTTTTTATATATTCTTGATATGTTTTTAGTGTCTAGTACTGTTTTTTTTGTACAATGGAATTTAATTTTGATAAGACTTTTCTAATGTTTCTGGTTTATTCCTTTTTACAATATTCCTCACTTATATAATAAATTTGAAGAATTAAAATTGTTCAAAAACATATTTTAAGGATCACATTGAATTAATTCTCAACCATTAGGCAAAAATGACTACTTTAATTTGTTACTGAGTTATTTTTGAAAGTATTTAGTAAAATTTTCAATATAAATGCAAATTTTATTTATTTAAATTACTGAATTTTCAATATTCTAAATCCGCCCCTAAATGGACTTTTTTTTTTCCATCTCTTTGTCAAAGCATAGATCTCTCATAAAGAAACAAAAGAAGGCAAAAAAAATAGAGAAAAAGAATAAAGTTGTCTCTTCCTCTTTCCTCTTTCTTTTTAAATTTTTTATTTAATCAACTTTTTCAAACTTATTATTATCATTTTTGTATATAAATAGGAGATAATCCTTGTTCTTTACAACTACCTCCTTAGTATTAATCCATCTTATATACTCTCTCTTTTTTATTTTCTTGAACAATTAACTATATATTATCTATGGCTGATCATCAGATTAATGTTAATGGAAATATTAATCATGGAGTAAGTTTAAATATTAAAGAAGATCATGATTTGAATAATCACAAGGAGTCTTCTTCAACCTCAAGTTTTCTTACTGTTCCTTTTATTCAAAAGGTGACTACTTAACATCTTAATTAACCTTCTTGTTAATAAATTTTTTGTATGTGAAAAAAAAAATATAATTAATGACAAAAATAGAATTTTGGTCTAATAACCTACGGTTATATCATCTAAAAGTTTAAACAGTTAATTATTAAAAAAAATGTTTAGATAGAATAATTTCTTACGTCGAATTATTATAACGTTCTCGTATTTATTTTGTAGCTTGATAAATTTAAATTTGTATCACGTAAGGTCTGTCTTTTTAAAAACTCTCTCTATCGATATTTTTTCATTTTTTTATTCATTCCATCATAATTCTGAATGGTATCTAGTTTGAATATTTGTTGTATATATCTTTTTTTTATTTTCGATTAATTATGACTATTCTAAACTCCACTTTGTTGTATTCTACTTATTGAATATATTATTTGATTAATTATGAATTTTTTAGACCTTGCTTATAAAATTATACTGATCGAATTTTATAGGTGATAGCAGAAATGATAGGAACATATTTCTTGATATTTGCTGGATGTGGATCAGTAGTGGTAAATGCAGATAAAGGGATGATAACATTTCCAGGAGTAGCCATAACTTGGGGCCTTGTTGTAATGGTTATGGTTTACTCTGTTGGCCATATATCTGGTGCACATTTTAATCCTTCTGTCACTATTGCATTTGCCTCTGTCAAAAGGTTCCCTTGGAAACAGGTATTTTCTCGATTTCAATTTACGTGACGTAATTTAACTAAACACGAATATCAAAAAAGTAAATGAAAACCTGTTATACTCTTAAATATGTGGTCTATTCATCAAATTTATGTAATATACTTCGACTGAAGTCGACGGTCTTTGAGAAACAACCTTCTACGAAATAGGAAGAAGGTTTATATATACTCTGTCCTCATTAGTCTCTATATGCCAGACTATATATTAATTATGTTATTAGTACGTTGACTGAAAACAAAATTAAAAAATGATCATTTTTCTAAACATAGTGATAGTCTTGGTTTACTCATGTATTCTTTTCGTTCATTTTATATGATGTTTAAACATGATTTTTTTTTTTAAAAAAAAGTGGATTTTTTGCTTTAAGTGTACGTTTTAATATCATGTAACTATAAGAACTTTGACACTAATTGGTGAAGGCTTTAGCAAGATACTTAATTCGTCAAACTAATGTGATGTATTTTTATTAGACACGAAATTTAGAAAAAAATAAAAATTAAACTTGTGATCCAAATAAATCATAAGTGAGGACGTCGATGATAACGAGGATTAAAACGTATTCCTAAATAGTTGATATTTATAATTAAGTTTCATTGTACTTTTATTTATATAATTAAGTTCAAATAAATTCCAAAATATTTATTTTTCTTTTTTAAAAAAATATAAAAATATTAGGTACCAGCTTATGTAGCAGCTCAAGTTCTTGGAGCAACCCTAGCAAGTGGAACTTTACGATTAATATTCAACGGAAAACACGATCACTTCGCCGGAACCCTACCGTCCGGCACCGACTTTCAATCCTTCGTCATTGAATTTATAATTACTTTTTATCTCATGTTCGTCATATCTGGTGTTGCAACCGATAATCGAGCTGTAAGTACTTTTTTATCTCAATTTATATAATAATATTTGACTGATAATAAAATTAATCGAAATAAAAATAATGTTAGGAATTTGTTATCTAAAAGGAATCTTAAACATTTATGTACTAAAAAATTATCTGTAAAATTTAAAAAATAAATAATTTATTATATGGCATCTAATGAAACTATAATCTAAAGGGTATTTTAAACCATAATCACAAGTTGATGAGTAGATTTGAATCTTTTCTCTCTAATATATATATATAATTGGACACGTGTAATTCATTCATTTCATGATAAAGTTACGTTAATATTAGAGTAAATTAATTTATTTCGAATTAATTTCTTGAAGTAATTTTATTAGTTGAATAAAAAAAATTGCTTAGGGATTCTTGAACATTCATTGTTCTATGATTAATATATTTTTTGTCATGTTTATGATTTGCAGATTGGAGAACTTGCTGGTCTTGCTGTGGGGGCAACAATTTTGCTTAATGTGATGTTTACAGGGTAATTACTCTTTAATTAATCGTAAAAATAATCGTCGTATTAAATCCACAAGTAAAACTCCAAGACCTAACTAATAATAGGTACAAACTATTATGCATTAACTTACATAATATACATATAATTAATCAAACTCAACAAGTAAACTTTTTAGTTGACATGCATAAATTAGATATATTTATTTTTGATATGTTATCGAAAACAGTCTCTCTACTTTCACTGAAAGTAAGACGGCATACACCCCTCCCAAATCCCACCCCAAACTCAACACGTATGAAATTACACTGGATATATTCTTTTGTTTTGTCAATCAACTAGTGTAACTTAGTGTTTGAACGAGCGGCTATTTAGGTTAATTCTTACGTACTAATGAATTGTGGTGTAACAGACCGATATCGGGTGCATCAATGAATCCAGCAAGGAGTTTGGGCCCAGCAATAGTGTCAAGCCATTACAAAGGCCTATGGATTTATTTGGTTAGCCCAACACTTGGGGCCATTGCTGGTGCTTGGGTTTACAATATAATCAGATTTACTGACAAACCTTTGCGTGAAATAACCAAAAGTGGATCTTTTCTCAAGTCCAAAAATTCTAGTACTTAAAAAAGCGGACATATTTGCAAAAACTAGTAATAATGGTCAATGGATGATGAAAGTGGTTACTTTTGCAATACATAAAGGGAAAAGGTTATAAAGTGGTTACTTTTGTAAAACACAAAAGAAAAAAAGCTATGTATTTTGTAATACAATAAATGAAGTAAATCTATGTTTTCTTTTTTAGAAAATTGTATGTCTTATCTACTTTCAGTGTCTTATTTTATGTAAAACTGTTACTAGTATTTAGAGAAAAGACCATTCCTACTAGCGAATTCGCAAAAAGGCATTCCAAATTAGAGATATCTCGTGTTCATGTAAGGTTTATGTGAAAGAAAGTGATACATGCTATATAAAAAAAATTATAATTTTATTCTTTGAAAATCAAGCAAAAATACTGTAAATCTCTCTACGGATGAAAATGTGAAAAAGGGGAAAAGGTTTAAAATAGCTTCCTTCTATTAAAAATTGAATAAAAATAAGTGAATATAAACCTCCTATTAAAATTTAAAAATCAATTTTTCACCTCAAATGCGAAAGACATAAATATAAAATAAGAATAAATTAAAAAATATATTTATATATTATGACAATAAAACAAACCCATGTTATTAAAAAAAAAAAAGAAAGAAACACTCCTATTAGCTATCAAAGTTTAATTTTTCACCTTTTCGAATCCCTAAAAAATCTATTTCTCTTCTTTTTCTTTACCAAATTTGAAAAAAAAATATTGTTTTTTTGGAATCGTAAAGGTTACTATAACCCCTTTAAATTCTTGCAAATTTTCACTGTATAAGTATATGTTCTTGCTGTTTAATGTAAAAAAGATTGTTTTTTTTTTACAAAAATGGAGGTGGCAAGTTCTTCTTCTTTGGGTGTGAAGATAATTGATATTGCTGATGATAACGATGATGTTTTGGTCATATATGAAATCCCAAAAGCTTCAAAAGGTAAAGGAAAAAAGTTTATTGAACCAATTTCAGTAGAAAATTATTTATATTCAAAACCTTGCTGCAGTGGTACTAAAAAAGTGATGATTGATCTTTCTGATGATGAAATTGAGTTTTTGGGTACCAAATGTGTACAAAAATCGAAAGGGGTTTCGAATATCAAGTCGATTGTTATAGATGATGATGGTGATGTGAATGAGTTGTTTACTTGTGATATTTGTGTTGATGAAAAATGTGTTACTGAAGTTTTTAGGATTATGGGTTGTAGTCATTCTTATTGCAAAGAATGTATGGCTAAGTATGTTGGTGTTAAGCTTCAAGAAAATATTTGTCGAATTTCGTGTCCTGTTTCGGGTTGTAAAGGGCAATTGGAGCCGTATAATTGTCGTTCGATTTTGCCTAAGGAAGTTTTTGATAGATGGGGAGATGTGTTGTGTGAGTCAATGATTATGGGGTCGGAAAGATTTTATTGTCCGTTTAAGGATTGTTCCGCGCTTTTGATTGATGAAAATGGTAAGGATTCTGTTGTGATTCAGTCTGAATGCCCGGAGTGTAGGAGGTTGTTCTGTGCCAAGTGTAAAGTTGCTTGGCATTCGGGGATTGTATGTGCTGAATTTCAGAAGTTGAATAAGGACGAGAGGGAAAGAGAGGATTTGCAGCTTATGCAACTTGCTAAGGGTCAAGAATGGCAGAGATGTCCGCAGTGTAGGATATATGTCGCGAGAGCTTCTGGTTGCGCTCAAATGGTTTGTAGGTTAGTTAGTTACTCTCTCCATTTCAATTTGTCTGTTTGGTTTTGACTATAAGTTGTTTGAATCTTGTGGTCGTCTTAAACTAAAGATATGTAAAATGTACTAAAGTACTCTATAATATTGTGGTTTTAAACATGTCACATTCAAAGTTATGACTAAAATTTTGCCAAAAAATGAAAGGGGCATGCTTTTTGAAATCGAGGGAGTATATGGTTTTTGTGTTTCATTTTCTCCCGGAAAGTTTGTGTGATCGAAGATGTCTAAGCTTAGATGTTTTAATCTATTTGAGCAATGTATGTTATTTGCCTTTAGTCAGGAGTAGAAGTAGAAGTAGAGGGTGCCATTTGCTGTATACTATAGAAAAAGTAAAAAATTAGGGATGATTTGAAAAAGTATATAAGGAGTGAGAAAAAATAATCATGTTACGAGAACCAAAGGTTAGGCTGACTACTATGGTAGAGCAACACCTAGAAAGATTTATCCCTACCCCTTGCCTCGTCTTGTCTTTCAGTGTTGCCAAGTCCCAAGGGAAGATCGCAGCCATAACACAGGTGCGACCTCAAGAATTGTCTACTTGTTTATGAACTACTAGTTTATAAGAATTTGATTGCTTGTAAGCGTACACACATCTCTGATTTGCCATGTCTACTGATGAAGAGGGTCGGTGCAGAGAGTTGACCGAAGCAAAGGCTGCTATGTGTGGATGCTTATAATTAGTTGTGTTAGATTCTCAACTACAGCCCCTATATCACTAGGATTTCAATTTTATCCTTGTTCTGCTGCTGGCTTCAATGAAATCTTGCATCCTTGTACTTCATTATTTCTTTAAAGCTAAGCAAAAATGCATAGTCTTCTCTTTCATTTTCAATTACCGTCACATATTTTGTTTATTTTTGTTAGTGATCCTACAAGATCTTTGTTGCTAATGTTCTTTGTCACGCTAACAAACAATAAAGCTTGATAACTTGGATGCTTCAATTCCACTCATTGACAATATGGTTTACTGCTGACTTTATCTTTACTTAACCAAATTGTGATGCATCATTGTTAACACTTGCAGGTGTGGATGTAGCTTTTGTTATAAATGTGGAGCTAAGTCAGCTGATCACCATTGCACACGCTGTGGTACTTAAAGACGTATTTCGTTTGAACTTATTAGTACTGTTCTTTCTTCTTTTTGTTCCCAAAATTACGAGTCCTCTGTAGATGTAGCACTCTGCTTAGAATATAACTGCGAGTTTTACTTGGTGGTCTCTTTTCTCAATCTTGATTAGATCTTAAATGGATGTAGTGGTGATACATGGAACCTATGTTTCTCAGACATCCAAAATTGTGTTGCACCCATATCGGATTCTCCAACTTTTAAAGTATCCGACATGCAGCTACTGACATTTTTGAAGAGTCTGAGGAACAGTCATAAATATGTGTACATATATTTGGCCTTTCTTGGAAGATATTTCATATATATCGTCTTCCGAGCAAAAGGAAACTACTATAACTAATGTTGAGATGCTCTTTTGTATTTTCAGGTATATTGAACAGATTGTAGATACCTCCAGAGGTGCAAATGCGCGATTTCTAGTTTTTCTTTTTTCGTCGCTCTAGGGGTATTTTAGTGATAGGTTCTTATGGTATAACTTGTTGATATAGATTTTCAGATTTTGTGAATTAGAGGAGATGACTAATGAAATAGCTCAAATGACTTATCTTCTAATTATTAATATGAATCTTGGTTATTGATTTGGTAGCTTCATACGTAATGTCTTCAAAGTACCACAACTATTGCAGTAATGATCACTTCAGTGAGCTCCACATTTGTAACAAAAGTTACATCCACACCTGCAATTGTGAAAAGATACAAATGGTTGTATTCGATTTTCAATATACAACTGATATATCTAGGTTGTTCATACTCTTTAATCAAAATACTTTTTATATATGTGTCTAGGACTAGTTTTACACATTTGATTTGGTCGAAAATTAAATGTATGAAGGTAGATAACACAAGGATCAAGATCGAAACAACACAACATTTCTTGGACCACAAAATCACTAAATTTTCAATACATGGGAAGTATTATAAATAACTGAACTCTTAATTTAAGATTTGCACATATTTAGAAAACATTGCAACACAAGATTTAGGACGAACTTACTACTACTTGATTCAGCTGAACTCGTTGAGTTGCCTTCTAGCTCCGCCCCTACTCAAGCACATTGTTAAAGCAAATATGATAGTCCTTCACTTCTCAGCATCTTAGTGCTGTTCTTCAGCAGAACAATCACCCTTTGACTTGTTCAAAATGGTCTCGATTGAACGTTCTTTCCTTAAAACCTCCACGACTTCAGACATGGTTGGTCTGAATGGCGGTGTATCTATACACTGGATTGCTAATCTTAGAACTATATCTGCTTCTACCCAGTCGCAATTCTGTATATCTTCGAGTAAATTCAATAGATGTCCCTTCCGATTCATTATTTGTGCCTATAGTAGTCGAAACAAACCAATAACTTTGACTAGTTTCCTAAATTAATGTACATAACTAGTGAAGTTAGTTGAGTCTCACTGACCTGATCAACGAGGTATTCACGGTCACCACCACCTGCCCCTGGGGTACTGATTCTCCTTCTGCTGAAAAGTATAAGCATGACAACTCCAAAGCTATACACATCCGCGTTGGCTTCTAAGGCACGATTTTTAACTTCAGGCGCGAGGTATGACCTGCAAAAGGCTTCCATTACTGAGAAGTGCAGTTGTAATAGCCAATGTATACAAAGTTTTAACACACCTAAAGTATCACTAATTTTTATCTGAAAGAGAGTGAAAGGTCAACATCACATCTGAAGTATCCTGTTTTTTTCGAGTTTTTTACCTGAACGATCACCAACTCATCAAAACGAAAGTGTTTTGGTAAATAGTTGGTGGTAGTTCAGGTATGAAAGTAAACAAACCGGGATATTTTTGGTGTTTTTTTGCCTATTTACTCTTTATGAAATATAATTTGTTAAGTGTGTTCCCTTACATTGTTCCTTCTGACTTTTGCTTCTGATAAATCTTTGCAAATCCAAAATCATATATCTTCGGATTCAGATCATCATCAAGAAGAATGTTCTCTGCTTTAATATTCCCGTGTATAATTTTATGTTTCGACCCCTCGTGAAGAAAAGATAAACCTTCTGCTACCCCAAGACAAATTCTATATCTTGTTGGCCAATCTAGTGGTGGTCTAAGTTCTTCTGGACCTGTAAGTAACCAAAGCTCGACGATTTAATTCGTTACTACAACTACAGAGGCTTAATGAAGAAACATTTCATAAATGGAAGACGTTACCGAATAATGCATCTTGAAGAGATTTAGTTCCAATGTACTCATAGATAAACAGAAATTTGTTCTTTCCTGCACAGCATCCCATTAGTGTTACAAGATTTGGATGTTTCATGCCAGTTATTCTACGACTCTTTTCCATAAACTCGTTCATTCCTTCTTCT